ATCCACCAGTTAAAGGAAATACAACTAATGTGTTGTGTTATATTAGCTGTACAATTTACCACATATGGTGCTCTTAGTTTCCATACCTCCTGTGTTTTACGAGCGACTTATCAATTCTTGGCAAACGGCATAAAACACGATTAAACATGATAGTATATAAAACCATGCTCGTATCTACAACCTATAGAAATGCAAAACGGCGTCAGTTTAGACGTAATTCTGTCCTCCTGCTTACTGCATCCATTTATGAGAAAACATTTCATAACATTAACACAACATATTCGAGGTGGTTTTAAATAACATATCCGTATTTATTTATTTCTCCAAGTTATGTTTTTGTGTGCACTGAGGAGTCTCAAACAGGCGTTTCTTTAATCATTTGAAGATTGGCTTTAATCAATGTTTGAAAATGAATTCTTCATATTTGATAAATGAGAGGTAACATTTTGTTTATGGTATTATTTCCACATATTTCTCTCCATTCTTCCTTCTGCCAACGGTGTCGCAGTTTCTCGTCCCTCCCGTTTTTGTGCCTAGTGTGTACGCATGGGTTAGAGTTTGCGTGGAGGACTGCACGTTTTCCCGTCAAGTTAGTATTTTATAAATAGCAAACATTGCGTAGAAACTGGCGTACGTCATTTTTTTTGCGTATATCCCTTTATAAATGAGGCCCCAGGAAATTGTTAATACAGCGAAAATCAAAGCTGACGATCTCTTGGTTTGATATGTTTTCTCCCCCAGACAACATGGACATAAGAACATTTTTTTTCAAAGAAGAGGAAAGTAAGTCATCAGCTGGTAGCAGTTAATCAGTTAACAGTGATGGCGGCGGCGGCAAAAGCGTCTCAGTTCTTGAGAGGAGTTTCGTCTTTATGTCATGATAGAGAGATACAAATACTGAATAGTTTAGATGAGAAAAGACATTGAAATGCCAGGTTACTAGTATTTATCATGTAAACAGGGAACATGAATAACCCGATCTCTCTGTGCTCATGTAAACACCATGATGTCCATGTAGAGACGCAGTCAGTGTGTTTTACTGGAGCCTCAGTTCGATAAGAGATTATTTTCTGAGTTCTTTAACTTAGGTATTCTCTCTCAAAATGGTAATGTGCATTATGTTTTGATTATACTTCTTATCATTCAGAAGATTTTTGTGTGTAAAAGTATCAAACCACCTGTTAAAATGCACCAGAATATAGGAAATCTATCTTTTTTTTTTTCGTGGGGGGGGATCCCCAAACCCCCCGTTAAAAATGTCCCCCCCACATTCAGGATGCTTTCTACGCCCATGGATGTATTTACTAGTAATTATGAATTATTCTGTCTACAGCGTACTGTCTATAAGCTGGACCTTCATCTTCCAATGGCTCTGCCACTTGAAAAAATCAAGGGTCTTACCCCCTTCGATGAGGTTATTGATAATGTCAACTACATCCTTGCCGAGGCTGGCGCAGGTAATGAATGACCTTAGTGTTTAGAATGAAATGCACTGACAGTTACCTTTGGCTCATGATAATAATTAAATCATTTTTTTAATTCTCAGCAGCTGAATGTAGTTTTGGCAACAACATATTGACCACATTCAACAACAGAAGATACGAGAACAAGATGCCCCAGTCTTGCTACCAAGTTCTGGCACAGGATTGTACCAATGAGCTTAAATTCATGGTTCTGCTGAAGAAGGATCAAATTGAACAGAACTACATCAACGTGAAAATCGCTGATATGTGAGTGTCCATTAAAAAACAAACACAAAAACTGTCCACAAATGGAGAAAACTAAACAGGATTTTCTTTTTTCCACTTGCAGCGATATTGACCTGTACCATAAGAACAGTGAAGTGATTATCAAGGTCAATGGAATGGAAATACCCATCAACAACCTGCCATACCAGCATCCCATAGGTTTCTATAGACATTAATGTCCCCCTTAACATCTTTTACTGGTGTAAAATAGGGTTGAAGATATGACTATGAAACTGTTACTTGCTTACAGCTCCAATCCAGATCAAGCCTAAGGGTGAAGGTATCTCTGTGTTCGCTCCCAGTCTTGGTCTACATGAAGTCTACTATGACAAGAACTCATGGACGGTAAATGAAACACTAACTAGGAACAATTTAATAAAAATACATAAAATTGAAAGATCTATTCATGTAAATCCAAAGTTGTTTCTTTGTTCTATAACTAATATGTAATTCTTAAAACTGATTGCCATGTCTAATATGATGTTGCAATGCAGATTAAAGTTGTGGACTGGATGAAGGGACAGACCTGTGGACTCTGTGGAAAGGCTGACGGAGAAATCAGACAGGAGTACCGCACACCCAACGGACGCTTGACAAAGAGCGCAGTCAGCTTCGCTCATTCCTGGGTTCTCCCAGCCGAGAGCTGCAGGGACACCACCGGTGGGACCTAAAGTTCATTGTGAAATTAGTTTTACAGCAACATCCTTTTGCACTGATATAAAACAATAGTAAAACATTTGTTAATTGTGAGAGTTGATCTTTTAAACATGCACGATGCACTGAGTCCTACAGAAACTCACCAATCACCCTTGTTCTCTCTCAGAGTGCCGCATGAAGCTTGAATCTGTGCAGCTGGAAAGTCAAATACACATCCATGGCCAGGAATCGAAATGCTTCTCTGTTGAGCCTGTGCTGCGCTGCCTGTCCGGCTGCTTCCCTGTGAAGACCACCTCCGTCACTGTTGGCTACCACTGCCTGCCTGCTGGTGAGTCTTGCAAAGAAGTCACAGTTGGTTCTATTTAAATAATAAGGAAAAATACACAGTTACTGATTGTTCCCCTTTTTTCCCTTGTGCAGATGCTGCCCAGAATTACCCCGAGAATATCTATGATAAGAGCGTGGACCTGAGGGAAACAGCAGAAGCCCACCTCGCCTGCAGCTGCACTGCTCAGTGTGTTTAATAATATAATAATCTTAAGCATCATGTTTTGAATAAAATTCATTTCAAAGAAAACGTTCTGTTATTAATTTATTTCAATTATTGGGGCTTGCATTACTTACTAAAAATAATGTAATGGCACAAGTTGTTGCATTTGTAAACATGCTTTAATTCAAAGGTTTTAGTGTCATATGAAAAAAAAAATGGTGAAGTTGTTAGGAAATCTAATCCTGCCAATCCGGCCTGCCAAATTTGCAAGACACAATAGGCGCTTTCACACCTGTCATGGCCTGGCTCTTGGCCATAACAAAAAGGTGTGGAAAGGACAATAATATAAGAAAATATATTTATTAACCAGAAATCAACGGGAACCAAAACTAACATCAAGGCAAGTATAAGCGAGAGTGGACGCTCCCAGAACAGGTCCTCCGCGGAGAGAGTGATCGAGACTCTGGCTCAGGCCTTTCAATCCCCCCCCCCCCCCAGGCTGTGGAGGTAAAAAGGCCCTCATGTATGATGGCAAACATGAAGCTTTGAATGAAGGCGCGTGAACCACTTTGGAAATTGTGTCCGGACAATATCGAGTTTCTCGAAGGCTTCAGTTAGAAGGGTTGATGCGTTCTCTCCGGCGATATACCTGTGTGGCGGGTAAGGGAAAGGCTGCAGGTACTGTATGGGGTTAAGGCAAGGTATCTTTGCCTTGAAAAATATTCGATGCACACACACACGAAGACCGATATCATGTTCTCATTTGCAATTAAAGATTGATAATGTGTGGTATTGGGTTATTTGAGAAGAGACTAGAGCAGGGGTGANTTTTTTCACTCGGCTCCTCCCGTTTTGCCAGTACTGTGGTATTAGTGGTTTAGGAAGAGGGGAGTTTTTCACAAATCCAGCGCTCCCTAACTCATGCCTGGCTGTGACGTAAATGGTGTGCGGCCGTGAAGCCAGGACAGTAAACAAACATGTCGTCGGTAGTATGGGACTATTTCAAAGTTTCAGAGTTAGATAGTTCGCTTGCTATTTGTATTAACAAATGCAATGCAGAAGTTCCACGAGGAGGGAAAAAGGCAACGAGCTATAATACTTCCAACCTGATTAGTCACCTGAAACATCGCCATCGCTACGATGGTGTGTTAAAAGCGTACTAGCGGCGAAACCAAAGCCAGCTGCAAAGGCACCGGGGCTTTTACCTATCGACGAGGCTTTTGAAAAAGGCAAGAAGTTTGTAATGCTCATGTCATTTGCTAACTACTAGTCTTTTTTTTACCACCAGGTGTGCAAAAACTACAGGTACATTTAATATATATGTATATTATATTATTATCGGTTATCGGTATCGGTCTTGAGAAGCAGGAAGTTATCGGTATCGGTTTCAGAAAACCAATATCGTGCATCCCTAGTTTATTTTAAGTATTCGGAAAAACCCTCTTTAAAAATATCTTAATGTAAAACTAAAATGCAGACATATCCCATGTGTTATACTATTATAAACATTAAATTATCAGATTATTAATAATTGTAATTGGTTGAGGCAGAGCTAGTTTTCACATTTTTACATATAGGCTATTATTGTTTAAATATTAGACCGTTCATTTTCATTATCAAGTGTCTCATTTGGTCCACAAAACATTATATTTACTGTAAAAAATATTACTAGTTACTTTGATTCTCAGAGAAAAAACCGCTAATTTGCAAATACGTGCCTCAATCCAACAATACAAAGCCACCTACAAATTGGCAAAGAATCCCAAGTATTACAAACACTTGAAATGTGCACTTGAATGTAAACATTGCATTTCAATGCATATACAATATGTAGCATTTGCAATTTATTTGGCCTGCTTTGATAGGGTGACATTTCTCTCTGTCTTTTTGTTTTTGTTTGTATTGTGTTGGTAGCGGGGAAGGGCTGTGTGTAAAACTCGTTTTATCTCCAGACTGGATACAAAGTAGTTTTTTATCTGAATGCTCACATATTGTCAGAGCAAGTGATTGGATTCAAATTGAAAAGTTTCATTAATTTTCACACAGAAGGCGAGTTGTTCGATTCAAACCATCCAAACTCTTCTACAGTTGCGTGTTAAAAACAAACATTGAATAGAATGAGACAATATTTCTAGTTGATTGTGCAGATCGTGCTCCCAGAAGATTCAATGCATTGTTTATTTTTCTCTTCATTGGAGGCCTGATGGAAGAGGAAATTACTTTGTCACCCGTCACCGAGTATAGCTATAATAGCTACATGTACTGTCCGTATGGCAGCAGTAAACATGGATGCTGGATCGTGTGCTGCTGTAGGCGGCGGGACACATGCTTTTGCTAATCAAGTGGGAACGTGTGTATGTGTGTGCGCCTGTGTGTGTATTTCATTAAAACACCTGGATGCACTTCCTCCAAATGGTAGTGCGAAAGTACTCCCGTGTGAGTTTTTTCACATTTCTACTCAGATTCAACTTTGTGTGTGTGTTTTAGCTGCGTGTCAGCATGATAATTAGAGGAATTACATTTTCACGCTGCATTAGGAATCCTCAGACACCCGCAGGCAGGGGGGATCAAAGGTCAGTTGATGTATTCACTGAGGATTGTTAATTGTGGGAGTCGATCTCATCGACTTGTGTCTGTCAGATCCCACATTAACCCGCTGACCCCCTGCTTCGACATTTATTTACCAAAATGTTAAACTGTAAGCCTGTCGTTCTTAAATTCAATGCAACGTTCAACATTACGCATTACATTATTAACATACCTTATGCACAAAACAGAGCACACTGACTTAAAGCTGCACTAAAACATATTTTATTTGACATATGGGTCAAATGAACATACAGTATGCAGTATGGATGACACTACAACAAATACCTCAGTAACAAGGAAACCTTTACGGAACTGATTTTTCTTCAGTATCACAGGTAGTGCAGTGTCCCCCAAGGGCTCGAGGCTAACGACATTCCAGAGACGACGGAGAACTATGTCTGGGATCAATTTAACTTAATGTTTTTACTGTTAAGGCTCCTATCGACGGGAGGAGCTAGTTAACTTTAGCAGTTACGGCTCCTACACACGGCGGCGTGCGTTGTCGCTCGCCGGCGGGGGGGGCTGAAACTCAACCAACAACCAATCACATGAATCTCCCGCCCCAGACACACAAGCACGCGGTTTGATTGGATAGAGCTTGCACTGGCATATGATTCGATTGGCTGACGCCTCTTTCGAGGCGGCAAAAGTAGAACATTGCTCTACTTTTGCAGCGATCACCGCGAGAGAAGCTACGCTTTGCTCCCACAATGCAGTTCGGCGAATCGTGACGTCACCCCATTCAAAGTGAATGGGCAGAAGCGTTGAAGCGGCAACACACGCCGCCGTGTGTAGTGGCCGTTAGCTGTCATGAGCTGGTGAACGGAGGAGTTACTACATTGTGTAATCAAGTCCTATTCGGTGAAGATAAATATTTTGCAAGGGTGTAACGCAATGATGTTGGGTTCAATGTAGTTTTCTGAAACAGACTATTTAGTTAGTCTGGAGTGAGCTGGTAAAGAACATCACCACATATAGTGCTTTAGAACCAGATCATTTTTCAGGAGATGGTGGAGACAGAACCAGAACCGAAAGAAGTGTCAGATCTCTCTGGAGAACCATAAATGTATTTACAAAACGTATTGGCATGTGTTGTAGTAGTAAATAGTTGTTGACATATTTCAGTGGACCAAAAGCGGTGTTACTGACCATCCAAGTGCCAGTGTTAACCAGTATGTTTGAATCGTATCCAGTTGAAGATGTGGTGCACTCTTTGATGCTTGCAAAGAGTGCACCACAACATGAGTAAAATACAAATAAAATACTAATTCTAAAATGTCTCTTTCACCTTGTAACTAATTTGAAATGGGATTTAAATGTCAGTTGTTATGACAACCCCAGCGTTGCGTGCAGAGTGTGTGAAGAGTGTCCAGCAGTGCATTGAGCCACTGTACCTCTACATGTCCGTCTGTCTGTCCTCTCTGCCTCTGCTCATGTGCCTGCCCATTTGCCCTTCCTAATTATCCCCTGGGGACAATAAAGATTGACTGAACTGAACTCTGCGGTCTGTGAATGACTGATGGGCTGTCCGTTTCCAGGGTAACGCGCTAACGTGGTATCACTGTATACTAACCTGTCGACCTACATAGCTGTCTGTCTGTCTGCTATCCCGCCTTTCCGTCTCTTGGAGTCTGTCAAACTGTCTGCCCCCTCCCACCGCTCAATTGCTGTGTGCCGCATTGCCATTTTTCTTCCTTTTTTTCTCTCGTTCAATGTCCTCCTGTCTCTGCCACTGCCTGTCTCTCTGTCTGTCCCCATCTTCAGTTACATCTCCAACTTGTCAGCCTCTTTAACAAACCTACCGTCCGTCCATCTGGCAGGTTTTGTTCATATTGAATTCACCATCTCAGGGGCCTTTCACGGCCGTGATTTTGTTGAATTTGTTTGCTTTTTTATCACAGCTAGGCCATCTGAGAGTGAGAGAGAGTAGAAAGCAATTAATCAGGAGCCAGAAGCCAGAACTTTCATTCCTGAATGGGGATCCCAGAAAACGGCTTTCCAGCTTATCACTGGCTGATAGCAGATCTGAGATTGGGAGGTTTGAAAAATGACATTTTCACAGGCGGCTCTGCCAGCTGGAAGTCTTTCTGAATGAAAAAAGGAAAGTTGTTTCCATGGGCCGCAGTGTACAAGCTGCTATAACAACGTGTCAAATGCTTGGTAAGCCTCAGATGGTGGTTGTTGGCATGACATGAAACTATGATCCTTACTGTAATCTAGAGGGTTACACAACTTTCCCCACAATTTATTGGAGTGTTGCAGTCCCCTTATGTGGGTTTCAAAGTTAGATATCACCTCCACATTCTTCAATAACCCATTCTTGCAAGGCTTCAGAGAGGAGCTATTGTAAGTGCAGTACACTATGTTCTAAAAACTATAAATAAATACACTTCCTATGTGTCACAACATTTTCTATTTTTAACTCTGAAGTCAAAAATAACACATTTAGGTTGCTTTTGATAGGAAATGTGCTTGTTTTGAGTTTCGCCTGAGTCAGATAAAATGGTGGATATTCTCAATATCAATCCCAGTAGTCATGTTGTTTGCAGTTATATCTTACACAGGCTCCGCCCTCTAGTGGACTCTATGGGTACTACCTCTTAACCATACTATGCAAGCATTCACCTACTGAGATATCTATAAACGTAGCCGGCCCCTCGTGGCGGGCCTACCTGAATGCGTGCGCAAGCCCACCGTATATAAGTCGGCCACGCCTCCTGACTTTCATCCTTTTCNTTGGTCTTACCCAGTTTTGACTTTGTTTGCCTGGCCTAGTTCTGGAAATAAAGGATTCCTGCTTTCAACATATCTTATGCATTTGGGTCCTATTATACCTCGCCGTCCAGTCGAGACAATGTTAGGTTTGTAATGACCGTATGCACGTTTCGCCCGTCTGGACAACATTCCAATAGCCTGTAATGTAAATTCTAGTGATGGCAAAATGAAGCTTTGAATGAAGCGTTGAACCACTTGGACAATTGTGTCGGAAATAGGTTCATTTCTCGAAGCTTCAGTTACAGCGACCTCTCCTGGCGAAGTGCAAGGCTGCAGTGGGTTTAACGTATCTTTGCCTTGAAAGATTTCCCATGCACACACACACTAAGACTGAATATCATGTTCTATTTGCAATTAAAGATTGATAATAGTGTGTATTGGGTTATTGAGAAGAGACTAGAGAGTGCTGGACATTTTTTTGGGCGGAGAGGGCCTTTTATCAGTTATTAAAGTATTAAAGTTGAAAAGCAATGATTAAAAGTTTAACTCTTCCGAGCTTTGAACCAGCTGCGCGGAGGATATCGCCGCATCCTGGCCGCCGGCTCTATCCACTGGGCTATCAATTCCTTAGACCATCGAAGTGTTTTTATATTACTCATTGTCTTTTTGTTCACAACTTCTCCACATTTCGTAGTGTTTCACGAGCCAGAACGGCCTATCTATCTTCCTGGCTTGCTCTATAATGATCTAATTCAATTCAAACGCAATGCCAACAACTCAACAGCAACAATGCAAACTACGACAACAACCCACACATTGCGCATTGTTTAGAGCGGTTATAAAGTGTTGAAGCGCTCAAATTTGAAACTGTTTCAACCTGTCACCTGTCAGAATCGAGACGAGGCAGTGCATTGAATCACCTGATTGGACGGCGAACCAGTGAGTTGATTCATTCAGGAAATGAAGCAGTTGCTGGTTCGGACGTCACATGTCACGTGATTTGAAGCANGGGGGGGGGGGCGCAACTTCCAACAGGAGTCATTTGGGGGGGCTCTTGGGAAAAAGGGTTGGGAACCACTGCCTTAGACAATGTTGAGTGAATTCAAAAGCAGGTTTGTGTGGCTGAGGTTGATAAACATTCGTTTTTATTTCCTCCTGTCAGGTGCAAAAACTTCAAAACATAATTGCAAGCCGAGCCAGCCAGTACAACCATGAGATGAAAAGGAAGGAGAGAGAATTCAACAAACTGAAGGAGCGCTTGAATCAACTTCTGGCTGACAAAAAGGAGAAGAAACAAGGTATAAGGGACAACATGCTCAGCCCCAACCTTTAACATTTTAAAATCAAACACCATTTTTATATATACAAGATTAAAATGCACAAGCACTTTTAAATGTAGCTTTCTTTTCCCTTTTTGCTTCCAGCCATTGATGTATTAAACAGCATTGGAAGAGCTGATGGGAAGAGAAGCCTTTGGAAAACTGTAAAGACAGAAGCCAAGTAGGTTCTCTTCTACTGACTTTGTTGTCCAGTCATTTTACATTTTCTATTAACCTTGTCTCTAAAGACATATTTTGCATGCGTAAAAATGTGAAGAAACAAATGTGTGACACAGATTTATTTTAGGACCAAAGGTTTCTAACAGGGTGGCTGAATGTCATGGTAGTTTTAAGTGATTTTCCGTGTAGATGTGTTATGTATATGAAATTGGAACAGACAAATGAACACAGATGATTATCTTCGTCCTCCCAAGGCATGAGGGGGAGATGTATAAGACTCTGCTGGGCAACTATGACACCCGACAAAGGGAGCTGCTGCTGGAAAATGCAGAGTTGAAGAAAGTGTTGCAGCAAATGAAAAAAGACATGGTGTCCATTCTGAGTTCAAGAAAAACAGCTCTGAGAGGGGACAAACATCAAGATGCCGGCAAACAGGTAGGAGGTTATTTTTCATAATACTAATAATAATATATAATTTATACATCACTGAATATACAACAAATACAATAGAATATAGGTTATTCAATATCCTAGTGCACGGTACAGTACAACAACACCATACAAAACCTACTGCAGACTCTACATTCTTAATTTACAATAGTTTTAAATCAAGTGTTTGAAACATATCTATTCTACATCAACAACAAGGCAAACTAAATAATAATAATAATAAATCATTACATTACAGGTTGATGCAGAGGAGGAAGAGGAAGTGTTTGATTCCAGTAAAGAAAGTGTAGAGCTATACTGTGATCAAGCCCGGGAAAAGCTGACCAACAGTATTCGCCTCCAGTGGAGGAGACTTAAGAGCCACGTTGAAAGATTGGACAGCCAAGGTAGTGTTCATGCAGCATACTTACCCTGTTTGACCCTGATACATGAAGGAATTTAACTTTGTATCATGTAAGGATTCCAGACAATTTGGATTCTTCTGAAAGATAGTGTTTGTAGAAACCTTGTTCAACCTAAGATAAACTGACATAGCTACAGAAGCAGGCTGATATTTTATAATGAAGCCAAAGAATATGAATTTGTATGAAAGCAACACAATTACATGGATTTTCCAATGGCATTACAGTCAATATCCTTGCTTCCTGTCCTTTAAAAACAATACATAGAACATGGATGTAAACTTAATTATATTTCCTGGGTTGTTTATTTAGCATCTTTAGCTCAGATGGACGAGAACACAAACTCTGATGCTGTCGCCCGAGAGACTCATGAGGACGAGATGGACAGACTGAAGCTGGAGATCCAGCAGTGCAAAGACTTAATTCAAACACAACAGCATCTCCTGCAGGTAAAACTGACATTTGCCACGACATTTTACACATTAAGATCTCTGGTGAGTTTATAAATTCTAGCTAAGAGTGCGTTTTTATTCTTGCAGCAGCAGTTGAGCTCTCCGTGTGACGATGAGACTGCCTCCCTGCTGAGCGACTGCTTCATGCTGCAGGAGAAAGAGCGCTTCAGAGAGGAATGGAAGACCCTTGAGGAACAAAGAAATATATTTGAGAGAGAAAGGAGGAACTTCACTGAAGCAGCTATCAGACTTAGCCATGAGGTAATGAAATACATTATATTTTTCCCAAAAATTGGTCTGACATTTTGGAAACACAGCACATTTTACTCTGTAAATTAGCAGAGTGAACAATGACTGGTTTATATCTGTGTGCTCCTTTTTAAGTGTAATATGTGTCTTTGAAGTGATTTGTATCTGATTTACTTTGCAGAGAAAGGACTTTGAGGACGACCGGGCACTGTGGCTCAAACACCAGTTTTTAAGCTTGAGTCCATTTGCTGACTCAAAGAAACCCCAGATGTCAAAATCTAAGAGTGCCTTTTCAATTTGTGAGGGATTTGTCAGTCTTTTTTAATCCTTTTCCAATTTGATATTAGCATTTTCAAGTTGACGGTTAATTGTAATTATAAAACTGAATTAAAAGATATTATTTAGGATAGTGTATAGTTTATCAGTCAATTCAACAATGTGCCCATTTCATTTCTTTATACCACAACTATAATGCAAATGTAATCAACTAAATCACTTCAATTTTTTTCTTCAATTTTTTAAAATAACTATCAATAAGGGACTTCTCTGACAGTGATTAATAAGGTTCATCCTATCTTTGCAGCTAAAACAGAGGCGAGTGCAGAGACAGATCCAGAAAAGCTAATCAAATGCAGGTCTGGCGCAACCTCCCCCATACCCAGATGTGTCCAACTCACACCCACACCAACAGACCACTTGCATCGGACACTTTGCCTTATGCCGGACAACAGGTACAATGTCTTAATTTGTACATTATTATTGCATAATGTATCTACATTAATGCAGCCACTGTGTCTCCCTAACTAACATGTTTTTATTTCTAGATCAACCAAACCAAAGAGAAAGGTTGAGCACGTTGAAGAATCACAAATCTCTTTTAATGAAAATATCCCAGTTCAGTGCAAACAGTGGAACGACAGTGAAGACCAGTACAGCCATTCACTCCCAAAGGAAAAGACCAGCTCTATATGAAGCCAGACACTTTGAATATTGTTCATGTCCATTGATTGTGGTTAGTTTGTGGTATTTTAAAAATAAACCTGAACTGTAAGGCCAAACACTTGAAGAAAGACGGTAAAAAGGAACAATATCTGAAAAATAGCCGTTAATGGTTGTAGCCAAACAAGAGTTCTGGTTAGCTGCTGGTGTTCAGTGTGACATATTTTTGACTATTCTGACTTTTTATGTTGTAGTTTTTTACATTTGTGACATATGTATTTATTGTTTGGCTGTTATATCTAGAATCTAAGTCTGAGACAAGTATTATTTTCCAAAACATAATTTGTCCCTGTATTGTGATTTGCTTGGTCTATGTTAATGGTTGCTTTTGCACCTTAACTAATCTACATGTTGCTCCCACAACTTTGAAATATTTGTTCTTATCATGTTTAACTTATTACCTGGCACAATTTTTTAGAATTAAGAGTTAATGCTGCTCTTTTACTGAACGCAATAAGAAGTATTTTTCAATAGTTTGATATAGAAAATGTGATCAAATTCAGATAAATAACTAAATGCATTATATTAAAATCAGGAATCTTATATAGGACAATATAAATTATACTCACAATTGAATTCAACTTGTGTTTTTATTTCGATAGGCCTAACATTAACAGATGTGAACAATTCCTACTATCCTAATGTGAGATGAGTTATTCTATCTCGACAATCTTATATTCTTAAAGTCCTTATTATATATCATTCAAACACGATTTTCTTGTGGTTTTACATGTATTTGTCTCTATGGAATACAAAAAACTGGTTCACCTCTACCAAGCCAATTATTACTGCCTGTTCCGGCAGTGGTTATCAAAGTTTAAAATGTTCATTATTTGTATAATAAAAAAGTTTACCAGTTTCAAGTAGGCTACTCCCTCACATTATGCAAGATTCGAAGGCTTTGTTGTCATTTGCAGAATAGCTACAGCTTTGTTGTTGGCAATGAAAAGTGAGGAAATGGTGCAAGTAAAATGCATTAAGTAAACTATCTACTGTACAGGTAAAAATAATTGGATAAAACAAAATGTAAAAAAATGAAATATTATACACAGTGGATATGCAACGGCTTGATATTAAAATAATGCAGCCAGTGAGGAAGTTACAGAGTATCCTGGAGTCCTTGTTGAACCTCCACAGCCCGCAGAAGAAGAGCTTCTGTCTTATTGTCCTGCATCTCCGGGCCTCCCACCTCCAGTGCCCCGGCCTCGGTGAGTGACGCCGCTTCACTTCATAACAGGAAGGGAATATCGTGGATGCTGTGCTGGCCTGGGGAAATGGCCACTATCGTGGCTCTGCTGTGCCTTTTGGCTCTCTTGGACGGTGAGAAGATTTCTAGTCATCCTGAGAAGTCTACTGGATTCATGTCTGTTCTGCCGTCCGCGGTGAGCATCCCCTGCAAAGGATCGGGAGTACCACACAAACAATTACCGGTTACCTTGTCACAGGCAATCAGTTCGACAAAATATGTTTGTCTTTTTTGTTTGCCTGCGATGATGGTTCTTCAGGACTGCTTCTTAAGCTCTAATCACACTCTCGCAGACTTTTCCGGTGATTCTAAAGTAGATGACAATGTATGTGTGTCGTTTAAGAGGAAAAGATGCCTGTTTTTGTTGTTGTTATTACTGTCAGGAAATGTACAACCTAACCCTGGTCCGCCCAGTAGTAGTAGTCAGATCGCTACTCCGGCTGATTTTAAAGCTAGGTCTGGGTTGGGTCTCATCCACTTGAATGTGCGCAGTCTGTTAGGTAAACTAGATTTTGAACGCATTTGGGCGAGCTCGACTGACGTCATTGTTTTATCAGAAACATGGCTAAATAAATCTATTTTGGCCTTTGACATTGCCTTAAATGGTTATAATGTGTATCGTACCGACCGGCCTAATAAAGGTGGTGGCGTTGCCATTTACGTTAAGAATAAGTTCAGTGTAACCACACTAGTTTCCAAATCTATCAGTAAGCAATTCGAATTTTTAGCCTTAAATATAGAAGTGGCAAAGGGTCAACAGGTCATGGTGGTGGGCTGTTACAGACCCCCCTCAGCTGTCAAGGACTCCTTGTCTTCGCTAACAAATCTTTTATCGCAACTAGACTACAAGGAAATAGTGCTACTTGGAGATTTTAACTGGGACTGGTTAACTGCAGTGTCAGAGGATTTTAAAAACCTTTGTATCTCTTTAAATGTTACTCAGATTGTTGACAGTCCTACTCGCCCTAATATTAAGTCCCCTAATAAATCCTCCCTAATTGATCTCATTCTAATGTTCCCCACAAATACTCATCTGTGGGAGTATTTTCGATGATCTGAGTGATCACTGTGTTGTAGCCACAATTAGGGACACTAAAGTCCTAAATGTTAAATTTCGTATTATCATCAAGAGAGAAAGAAAACATTTTGTGGAGCAGGGTTTTGTACATGATCTGTTTGGGTTTGATTGGGGAAAAATCTATCTGTGTGCTGATGTTGAAACTGCATGGTCTTATTTTTATCTTGGTTTTATGGAGATCATTGATAGACATGCACCCCTGCATACGTTTAGAGTAAAGGGACGAGACAATCCTTGGTTTTCTGCTGAACTGTCCAGTCTCCTGCATGAGAGAAACAAGGCCTGGGCAAAGGCTAGGAAATCAGGCTCAGAGGTAGAATGGCTGCGTTTTAGACAGCTAAGGAATAGCTTCACTTCAAATGTCAAAAGTGCTAAGTCGAAGTACTATTCGTCAGTAACCACAGAAAAACCTAAATAATCCAAGGACATTTTGGAAAGCCATAAAATCTATCTCCACCGGTGAGATCCGAAATGAGCTACCTCCGTGCCTTACCACAGCATCTGGCTCTATATCGGACAGGGCCACTATGTTAAATTGCTTTAATGAGCATTTTGTGTCCTGCGGTTCTCTGTTTGATTCTGTGACTAACTCTGCTTCTGTGAACACCCCAATCCGTGACTCTGAACAATGTGGTCTGGAAAACCCTTTCAGTTTTACTCCTTTTACTGTTAATGTTGTTCATGAAGCATTATCTAAGTTAGATCCTAAGAAACCGGCTGGCCCGGACAACGTAACCTTTCTTTTTAAAGATAGCTGCAGATTTTATTGCTCCACCTCTTACTACTCTTTTTAACCTCTCCCTCAGCACAAATGCAATTCCAAAGGAAGTCAGCTTATGTCTTGCCTTTGCTAAAATAAGGGGAGGCAACTATTTTAAATAACTATAGGCCAATCTCTAAATTGTCAGTTCTGGCGAAGGTGCTCGAACGCCTAGTGAGTGAACAAGTAAAGGAGGTTTTATGTAAAAATGATATCCTGTCTAAACATCAGTCAGGTTTCAGAAAGCAACATAGCACCATCACTGTTGTGACTCGACAGATATGTTTAATTATGTTTTTACTCTAGTTTTGTGTTTTGATCTTGTCACTTCCTGTTTTTATTTTGAAAGTAATCTTTCCTCTCATTCCAGATCCCACATTTCCTGCCTTTATGTGTTTCCCGCCCTTGAGATTGCTTGGCCCTGCCCTGATTGTTTTCACCTGTGCCCATCCCCCTCACCTATATATAGCCCTGGTGTTTCTTTGTTCCTTTGTCAGTTCGTTATGTTTCATGTCGTGAGAACCTGGGCCTTTTTGACTCCTGATACCTACCTTGAGATTTAGACCTTTTGCCAAGTGAGTTTTTTGTGTTTGCTGTACAACTTAGTTTTTGGCTATTTAACTACTTTCTATTTTTTTGAAAGTACGATTTAGTTTTGTTATGAAAGAACATTCTATTTTTGGACAACTGTCTTTGAGTCCTGCTTTTGGGTCCTACGTCCTGTGTCTCGGTCCATAACAGTACGAACTGACCAAAATATGGACCCAGCTGATTCAGAGACAGTGAAGATAGCTCTGCGAGCTCAAGGATCGAGACTACACCAGCATGAGGAGCAGCTGGGTGCCATCAACCTGGGGGTGAAGGACCTGACCGGCCGTCAGGAACATTTTCAAGCCTCCGTCAATACTCAGGTGAATCACCTTGCCGAACAGCTGAACGTGTCCTCGCTCACCTGGAAGCTGGTTCATCCCCTCAGCCTCCTGCTGTTGCTTACACACCAACTGCTCCAGCTGACCATGTGCCACTCACTTGGTGTACCGTTACAATGTATTAAGGTTTTGTCGTATAATCGTTTTTCGGAACAATTATTTTGGAACATTTGTTATAAAACCTCTTTCCTAAAGTGTACTTACTTCTACGGGAGCGTCGCTCTCGATGCACATCACGACATGTCAACAAAAAATACAAAATGTAAATCTCTAGTAAACGAACTGTTGTTCACGTTTATTGCAGTCTCGCGGTTAACAGTATTATCACCATTTTGTAACACTTTTATAACAGTCGTCATAGGTAAAATACCTTTATATTCACACCCTATATCCCACTCTACATCATCAGGTTGTTATATCGGTTATGGAATGCGACAATGAAGTTATGTCGACATAACTTGTAAAAGTGTCATTGTAGCTTAAGACTTGTACTCTACTTTGCTATACTATATTTGTCATCCGATGATGTCTGCGGTACCTAACATATATTCTCGATTCGTCCGGCGGACAGTTCCTATATTACTGGTATATAATCTCGATTCCTCCTGGCTCTCCTTTCGTTTATCCAATTTTGCCTCGCCGACCTGCAGTCTATTAGTGGTCTTCTTCCGTCTGGGTCTTCATTGTGATTGGTCCTTGTGCTTTTACCCGAGACGTCAACTAAACAGTGACAGTGATGGGCTAGGCAGGGGGGGACGGGGCTAGCGCATGACGCCGTACACGCTCTAACCTGTCGAGTCTGCCGTTGCGTTCTCCTGTGAACTGTGTCATCCGAAAATCGTTTTCGAGTTTTTATTTTGCTCACTCTCTACTCAATCAACAATAATGTTGCACTGAAGTAATAATAAATTTTTTGATAAAAATAGACCCAAAGAAAATTAACCCCAAATCATGTAACAGTCTTATTCACTACTTTACTTAAATTGAAGAACCAGTCTGTCGGTATATTACAAACGTATGGTAAGTGTTCATTTATAAAAGTCATGCTATCGACAGATTGTCTCAATTAAGTCTGTTGTGAGGAGGAGGGTATAGGCAGGTCCTCGTTGCAAAACCAGTCCCAGGGCACGCCGCATGTCAACACTGCGGAGCGATTCCGACGGAAGTCGAAGTATGTTCCCTGCGTTTTAATCCGTCCGTCCACTGTAGAGAGCGGGTAAGCCTGCATTCGGCTCCGCGACGAGAGGCAATTCAACCGAGCGGTGATTCCGGGAAATCTCACTTGTCACCCCCTTACGTCGTCCCCAAGTATAAGATATTAGCCTCTAGTGTTACTTGTTGACTTTCCCGCTGTCAAGTGGGCCTTAGAGGGGCCAATCTTAGCGCAGACCTCTTACGGTCTGCTTCGNGTCTCTGCATTACAATAAAATGTAACAAATAATTGATTAATTAATTTGAATAACAATTCAAGTTAGTAGCTAATAAAGGCATAAAAACACATACATTTCTGTGTTTTTATGCCTTTATTAGCTACTAACTTGAATTGTTATTCAAATTAATTAATCAATTATTTGTTACATTTTATTGTAATGCAGAGACAAGGCTTTTAGTGACCATGTATTGCTTTACATTACAATATGTAAAAAAAAAATTAAAAAAAAGTCTAAATATGATATTTGGCCTCAAATCATCTGAGCCCTGGCGCACCCCCTGGGATCTTTGGCGCCCCCCCAGGTTGGGAACCACTGGTCTAAGGCAGTAAGTCTAATAAAAGTACCTCTTCTTTTTCAGTTTTTAGGCTGTTTTGCAAAGTCTTCACTTTCAGCTGCAGCTGCCGTTCTCTCTCAAGGAGTCCTGTGTTTTCTCTTTTGGACAGTTCGAGCTGCTCCTATTGTACCAGAACAACATAGACATTTATATAAGAGCTATTATTCAATGTTGATAAGAAAATATTGACGTTCTTAGTTTTAGTTAAACTTTTATCTTGTTATCTATATTTGTATTTGGAAAAAATATTTAATTGTACCTTTAGATGGGTGCTGGATAGCTGCAAGAAGTCCACATTACTGCTGGTCTTAAGCTGCTCCACCTCCATGTTTTCCAAGGTCCGGAGGCCCCTGTGGTGCAACTGAATCAGGTCATACATGCAGTTTAGCACAGGGACGACCTTCATCTCTGAGCTACCGCTCGCCTCCGTCCAAAGTGGTGGGAGGCCAAGAGACGACACCTCCTGTATAAGGGGGAATAAAGGAAGAAAAGGATGTGGAGGACAATCAACACGTCAAGTCAAGATCACTGCAGTCATGTTGTACGAGCCTTTAACTACAAGCATGTACGTATCAATAAATCAAAGAATTTGAGAACTTGATGTTACTTACCTGATTGATGTGAGATAGACATTCCTGCACATTGTGCTCAGTGCAGAAGTCACTGAGCATGTAGTTTCTGTGCAGTGGCAGCGATGATTGGCTAAACTGTCTCAAGGGAGATGGTCTACATTCAACGGAGCTGCTGCGAATGTCCTTGACTTCTGGAGGAAGAAAATAGTCACAGTATGGCTTTCTGCTAATGTAACAAGAAAAGAGAACCCCTTCATACACATAATAACAACTGAGATTATTTTTGCAACAAAAACCAAGAGTAATCTTCACCGTTCATGTGTGGGTTTTAGTTTAACCTGTTCCCAACTCACTAGATTTGATACACAAGATAGAGAAAGTATAACATAACCTGTACAATGCTCGTAATGGCAGAACACTGCAGTACTGTACTTCAGTTCATCTAACTCAGTGGTTCTCAAAGTGGGGGGGCGCGAGAGACCAGGAGGAAAAATGGTTATAAAAAAAAGAAAAAGAATCATAATTTGAAAAATTATTGATTCGAAAATAATATGATGCAGTACAGTACTATTACGTCTGGGTCTCTGTGTTTCATTAAAGCTCGGCTCTGTGTGTGCGTGTGGAACGAGCCATTTTGTGTGCCCGAGCGAGAGAGAGAGAGAGAGAGAGAGGGAGAGTGCACCGGTACCGGAGATCGTTGTTGTTAGCTTCTGGTGCTAGCGAGCTACGCTAACGGATATAAGGAGTTTTTTCAACAACAAGGTGGAGGAGAGTCCTCTCCTGTCAGACTGAGAGACTCAGTGAGCTAAAGGACTCTCTCAGTGTTATCTCAGTGGGTCTCAAATGTTTTGGTCACCATTAATGTAAACAATTATTTCCGAGGCACACGTTTATATGATCATTATAGTTATAAAAAAATAAGAGAATAAATGAAAAACAGGTATGAAATACTATATGACAGTAAAACAAGAATAAAGTTTAAAAGGGTGATTTGTCAAATATCCATAAAGAAAAAGTAAATCTGTTTACAGTTCTGTTTCATATGGGTGTTGAGAGATATATCCATATATCTCTTCATTGTGCACCAGATTGATGCATTTAACTTCAATATTTAAAAATAAATCTTCCCGAGGGAGCTTGCCCCCGGACCCTCCTATGTGAGGTCCACACGACACACCACCTATAAAAATAACACTTTACCCCTGCTTACAGATATATGCCGTGAGCTGATTATTGAGCCTTCATTGTAACCGTCGCGGATACACTGTGTATTTGCGTGGGGAATGTTGCAGTAGAAAATTCAACTGTATCGCCCATTACATTAATGGGAAACCCTAAATGTTTGAGCACCCTCTATGAAACGTCAACCTACCCCACAGCACCCCCAAAAGAAATCTCTGGCGCCACCACTGAGCCTGACTATTTGTGTTGGGGGGGCCCGACTTTTTTTTTTCTCCAAAGAGGGGGCCTGACAGAAAAAGTTTGAGAACCACTGACCTAACTGAAGATGATGACAAAGTCAGATTACAAAAATAATAGGTCCATTGTGAGACATGTAAAGGTGATAATAAATATTATGGAGTACAATAGCATTTGTCTCATTTACAGAGTGTCATTCACAGATCTAAAAATATGTCAATATCTATACTCACCCAAGGAGGACTCCGGCATTGTTGCAGTGCAGCCTTTGAGCTACGTGTTTGGATCGTCTACCATATGTGCAAGCTGACAATGCCTGGAATAAAATCCACTTATGCAGTCAGTGCTCCTGAAATAGACAGTCAGATTAGCAGTGCTCATTCAACACAGTCTGGATTACAAAGTAAAGGAAGTGAACTAGTAGTGATGACGGGTGGAAACACGCAGCAACCTTGATGAGAGAGTGTAAGCACAGCAGATTCATGCGAGCTAATTCTTCTATCTATCATAAGCAATGGTGATTGCATAGTGTACTGACAGCCATCCAATGTTTTTAAATCAAAATGTTTACATTTTTCTTTATAGAATGTCTTTGACAAAGCTCATTATGATGATGACATCGCCGTATTACACTGTTGTCATTGCAGGAATATTTAACAGGTTACAGCCTTGGACCAGGCTGGCATCTTATCTCTTATACTGTAGTCAGCCGATCAGACTAATCCCAGACACACACAGTATGTGGAGCTGTCTAGAAACCACACAATAAGAAACATTTTTATTCCTGTATGATCAATGCCTATGTGCTCCAGAAATAGACATGTAGCTATCACTCACAATTAATATTATATATACACTTTACAGTATGACTTGATCCTTTGATATCAAAGGATACTATCAAATAATGATCAGAAACTAAGTTTAGAAATATATAACATGCTTTATGAAGAACATTTTGTAAATGTAATGTGTTATATATTTCATTTACAAAAAGGCTATGAGTCAGTTTTATCTCAGGAGATCTACCCTTTGGTTTTAGGTGATACTTATTCAGCATGGCGAGACAGATGGCAAGCCTACATTCAAAGGGCTTAACAGGCATATGCTGCTTAGACTGACTACTCAACAAGTGTTAACCCTTAGATCATTAGTTAAACTTATTTCCAGTATAGAGAGGTGAAGTCCCGCCCCTCTACTTCCGACCCAGGGGACCTTATTTCGGAAAAATTATGTATTGAAGTCAATGGGGAGAGAAAACGTATCTTTCGATCCCATTTGAATTGTGCCATGAATTACACAGATGATGTTTGTCAATCTTAAAAAATAATTTCCACGTCAAAAAAGTCATAGTTTGTCGTAAAACTGTTGAAATATAAGACTATGAAAAATACGTAACTAGAAAGACTACAAATCCCAGTAAGTGATGTCATAACTGATGTCATAATTGTTTTCCTCCGCTAAATATAAGAGATAGCTAAAATAAGATAACTTTAACAAGATGCCTGTGTGCTTAGTACCAGGTTTTAATCATACCAGCAATGGGTCTTGATCGTTCTTTCACTTCCCGTCTGATGAAAGGACCAGGAGTGGCTGGATCAAGTTAGCTACCTAGCTAGTAGCAAGCANGTTAGTTAGCATTACAGCCTTAGCCTTGTCATTTATATTAGCCTTAACAGGAAGTACCATTAAGTAACCCAAAATGTTAAACAGTAAGAGTAGTAGTCATATTTCGTGAACCCTTTGAAGAGTACTGTCACACCGGTGTGATCATTCTAATACACCGTTTAAGCCCGGATGCCCCCGAGGGAGACAG